CCGGTGCCTTAAACCGGCGCCTTAGACCGCTCGGCCACGCTGCCTGTTTTCATTTTACAAATAAAACTGATCATACTAATCCAAATATTTACTATCAATACATATTCAATATATAAGAATTATTTTTCTTCTGTAGATTTAACATTTTAACTAACCAAAGGGAACACAAATATAAATTTAAAACAATTGCTGTCTTGATATGAAGTTCGAATATATTAAAATTTAATTTAATAAATTTGTTCAAAGAACATATCATGAAAACATCTGTTTTATAATCACATGCTATTCGATTGGATCTTATCAGTGTGTAGTTATTTATTGTTAATCTTTGAGTGCCTACCTTTTCTCCTTTTTCTTAGTAAATTTTATCCAGATTATACTTATAATAATGTATTAAATTAATTATACAGAGAGATATTTCATTTCCATTAAAAACTGCTGATTTTTCGCCCCGAAAATGTCAGATAGTGACTATTTTCTTTTAAATCTACTTTATACTGTAGAGAAAAACAAGAAATCTTGTTGAATAACTTCAATTTTTTATTTTCAAAATTGGATGATATTGAAATGCTTTGAATAGATATTTTTCAACTATATGCAGATATTTGTTAATGCTCTTTGTAAGACAAACAATCATTTATGAAACTGACAAGTAAAAATAAATATGTGAATGCCTATCGCAGATGATGCAAAGCTTTATAAAAGTTTACACTCGATCATGATCTAGTGCCGCGTAGGTGAGAACGATCAATTAGATAATTGCATTATAGTTAATTTATTTATTTCAAACATCTGATTAGTACAGACACAAATGAAACGTAAACGAAGATTTTCTTATGGATTTTATTTATTTACTTGAATGTGCATATTTGTCGATCTTTCATATTGCTGATAACATTATATTAGTCGTAGCGCATGCATACACGTAGTCCTTGACACATGAAAATAAAAAGAAGATAAAAAAAGAACAATCGACAACGCATATAATAATTAAATGTTTCTTTTCCCTCATGGTTCCAACAGAAAATCTTTATTATTGTTCTGGTATTTTTGTCATATTATTCAGTATTCAGTTGTCTGAAGATAAAAATAATTGTAAATGTCCATCACTCTGTAATAATGACTTGAACTGTAACAACAAATATTTTAAGAACTATTTCTTACAGGTTATTTTTTGAAGTTTCAACAATGATCATATTTTAACGTCCGTTTTGTTTGTTGGTAACCGGTAAATATCTCTGATAATACCTGTAACATTTTGTAACGTATATTTAACAAACATGAAAAAATCAAGTGAAATACTGATAACAGAGAAAAATAATGTAAATAATGATAAAAAGAACAACCTCAAGAAGAGTTCTTATACTATAAAATGACACATTACTCTCATTCATTTATAAACATTTTTTTTGAAGTAATCTACATTGTACAAACAATGGCGACTAACAAATTAATAACATCTGTTTAAACCAATACACAAGCTAATACTAAACACGTATTAAACTTCTCCAAGGATGCAGTTGAAAATCGACGTAGGAACATGCAAAGAATGCAAAATATTCTCCTAATTTGGTTGGACAACAATACTAATGATAATAATGCTGATTGTAATAATACAATGAAGCAATTAAAACGTGTAGTTAACAACATAAACACGTTTACAGATGGTGAAGAATGTGTTGAATTTATTCAAACCATTGTCAACAATAAAGTATATATGATTGTCTCCGGGTCACTTGGGAAACACATTGTGCCTCATGTGCATGACATATCCCAAGTAGACACCATTTTTATTTTTTGTAATAATCAAGAATGGCATAAACAATGGATCAAACAGTGGCCTAAAATAAAAGGAGTCTTCATAGATATAACATCAATCTGCAAAGCTCTTAAACAAGCTTCTCACCAATGTGAGCAAAATGCCATCTCAATCAGTTTTGTGGCATCAAATAAGAAATTAGATCAATTAGATCCATCATTCATGTATACTCAGATCTTGAAAGAGATCTTGTTAACTATCGACTTCGAAGATAAACATATCAAAGAATTTATTACTTATTGTCGTGAAGCATTTGTCGAAAATGAGTATGATTTGCATAATATTGAAAAACTCGAACGTGACTATCAAAACCAAACACCGATTTGGTGGTATACTTATCAATATTTTTTATATTCGATGCTCAATCAAGCATTAAGAATAATGGATGTTGATATTATTGTTCGAATGGGTTTCTTTATTAAGGATCTACATCGTAATATTCAACGAGTTCACTCGAAACAATTTGACGATGAACAATCTGATAAAATATTTACAGTTTATCGTGGACAGTGTCTTTCAAAAGAAGATTTTACCGAAATGACAAAAACGAAAGGTGGACTTCTTTCATTTAACAACTTTTTGTCAACTAGCATAAATCGTGATGTTTCTCTCTGTTTCACACCGCAAGCTGCTACCAATCCGGATCTGGTTGGAGTTTTATTTGTTATGTCAATTAATCCGACTGATTCAACAACTCCATTTGCTTCTATTACAGATGTTAGTTACTTTCATACAGAAGATGAAGTTCTTTTCTCCATGCATACCATTTTTCGCATTGGAGATATTAAATCAATGGATGAGAATAATCATCTCTATCAAGTGAACTTAACATTGACCAATGAGAACGACGAAGACCTTCGTACTCTTACTGATCATATCCGACAAGAGACCTTTCCAGAAAAAGAAGGTTGGTATAGACTGGGATTATTACTGATTAAGATGGGTCAATTCATCAAAGCTCAAGAAGTTTATGAAGCGTTACTTCATCAAGCAACACATGAGAGTGATAAGGCATCGATTTATTATCAATTAGGTCGAATCAAACGTAATCAAGGAGAATATCAGAAAGCACTTTCTTATTATGAAAAAACTCTTGCAATTCGACAGCAATCACTTCCTTCTGATCATCCTGATTTGGGACACTCCTATAACGAGATCGGATCGGTGTATGACAGCATGGGTGACTATTCAAAAGCGCTTTCTTATTATGAAAAAGCGCTTGAAATTCAACAACAATCACTTGGTTGAAATCATCCTCATTTGGGTGTTTCTATAACAGTGTGGGTGTGGGTTTGGCTTTCTTAAGACTATTTTCTGTATCAGCAATATATACAAATTGAAGTGTTCAATTGAATATATTTATTAGTGATAAGTGACATATAATGAAAAGCAATCGTAAAATGTGATCAGACTCGCAAACTAATCAATTGTCGGTTAATAGTCGGCACTTCTCATCAGTTTCTAGTACTACGAAACATGATGAAGGTAGATGTGACTGTGACTATAGGTGTAGATACTAATATGAGTCTTCATACCCACATCCCAATTATATCTTCATCCATGTAGTCAGACTATTATTTTCATCAAAAGATAAGATCAGTTTGCTTTCCATTGATTTAAGCAAAAAAAAAACAGTACAAGAAGCTGACAGTATAAGCATTAATGAGTTTAAGTAAAAGATTGATAATGAGAAAGTTTTATGAAAAGTTTTGGTATCGAACAAACATTGTCATTTGCTCCATATTGTTAAGCGGTTAATCATGGGATAATGTTCTTGGTAGAGTAAGGAAATGTTAATAAGTATGTTGAGTATGATGGAGAAATAAATTTTAAGACTGTAGGAGAACACTGACGGTGTCTCCACCAGAGTTTGTGACGATAATATCGGGTTTATTGTCGTTGTTCACATCTGCTACTGCTACTTCAAATGGCTCTGAACCTGCTGAGTAAGTAGTTTGAGAAGAAAAAGTTCCGTTGCCTGTATTGAGGAGAACAGTGACGCTGCTTGAAAATGCATTTGCAGTAACAATGTCTGGTTTATTGTCGCTGTTCACATCGACTACTGCTACTGCTATTGGTACTGAACCATAATCAAGTGAGTAATCATTTTGAGAAGAAAAGGTGCCATTGCCGATGTTGAGAAGAACAGTGATACTGTCTGAACCAAGATTTGCAGTGACAATATCGGTTTTATTGTCGCTGTTCACATCGGCTAATGCTACTGACACTGGGTTTATACCAACTGCGTACGTAGTTTGAGAAGAAAAAGTGCCGTTGCCTGTGTTGACAAGAACACTAACGGTGTCTGAACCTTGATTTGCAGTAATAATATCGGGTTTATTGTCGTTGGTCACATCGGCTACTGCTAATGACTCTGGAGATGGACCAACTGAGTAAGTAGTTTGAGGAGAAAAAGTGCCGTTGCCGGCGTTGAGAAGAACACTGACGGTGTTTGAACCACGATTTGCAGTGACAATATCAGGTCTATTGTCACTGTTCACATCG